TTTCACAGGTTTACCCTTTTCAAAAAAACAAGAGTTTTAAGATAACATCATTGAGATGTGTGGCAAACAGATGTAGCTCAGATTCTGAACTTCAGTGAGCAATAACCCAAGGGGGTTTGTTTAGCCCTGGAGCACTGTGGGCCAATGCTCATTGTTCTGTTGACAAAAATAGATTGCAGCATCTTCAGATTCCACAGGATGGAGGGTGACGGTGATGTCTGTTTGAAACTCACTGCCACTGAACCTGGCAGGGAACACAGATGCTAGGTTAGATGCAGAAGAGATGAGGAACTTGGGATGCTATCCTGGTTTCTCTGTTGGTTCCAATGCATATAACTAATGTCATATTCAGTGACACTCTTACTGGCCCTAAAGGAGATTATGGCTCTCTACTCTAGAGAAACAGGTATTGATGTGGGAGACGGGGTCAGAACAATGTCCCCAGGGGAATCTAAAATGACAAACCCCTTGCTATCACATTTATTAAAAACAACCAAGTGTAAAAGCATTATGTATGTGGTTCTTATTTTTACTGATTTTATTGAGGTATACATTTTTCTCTGTTCCTTTTCTTCCCCTCCCCTTCCCTTCAACCATCTCCATTATTCTCCATGCTCTCAATTTACTCAGGAGATCTTGTCTTTTTCTACTTCCCATGTAGATTAGATCCATAAATGTCTCTCTTAAGGTCCCCATTGCTGTCTAGGTTCTCTGGGATTGTTATTGTCGGCTGTTTTTCTTTGGTTTATGCTTAAAAATCACTTTTGAGTGAGTACATGTGACAACTGTCTTCCTGGGTCTGGGTTACCTCACTCAATATGATTTTATCATGTATGTGGAATCTATATCAGCAGTCAGGAGCTACACTCTGAGAAGCCATAAAGGAAAATGAAAATTTAACACTATTTAGATGCCTTAATTTCAATCGACAAAACATCAAAGCATGAAAAGCAATGATAGCCACAGTGGCTGCTCCCAGCACTTCAGGCTCTCACCTGGATCCCAGAGTCTCAGTACCCAAAGCAGGAGAGTACCTGAACCCATGCGAGTTTGACTAAAGACTGTTTCTTGGTCACTGAGAAGCTGTCTTTAAAGTCACTTAGTAATCTGCGCTTAGCTAAAGTCTCAATATGCAAATCAGCTCAGAAAAAAGCTTGACTTGGTGCTCAAAGGACACCTGCTCTTGTGTCACCCATGGCAGTTAGGAGTAGCAAAGAATTCTCTAGAGTGTTGTCAGTACTGTATCCCAGATGACATTTTGGCTGGCCTTTTGAGATTGTCATTCTCTGTTATTCTGAGGTACAGGTGAGGAGTCAAATGCAATTACTCTGGCTGCTCTAATGGATGTAGGTTGCAGAAGCATGGTGATCCCTCAGAATTAAACTATTGAGATAACTTTATATTTATTTTTTTTGTTTCTCTGAGACAAGGTTTTTCTATAGCTGTGAAGCCTGTTCTGGAACTAGGTGTTTTAGACCAGGCTGGCCACAATCTGACAGAAATCCACCTACCTACCTAAAACCACAGGGTTTTAGCCTTTCAATAAAATTCAAATCAAGATGCTTAAGTTATTGCATAAATTAACACTGCCATACTCACTTCATTGGATGGTCATGAGATTATTTTCATCACTGTTTTTCCATCTCTTTTACCAAAGTTCCTGGGATATTGATATGCATTGCATTCTTGTATCAATCACACTGTTACCAAAGTCTGCATGGCTATGTCTACTATGGAATGTCAAAGATTTTCCCACCCTCTGTTTTCTTCGACTTCATTATTCCATGTCTCAATGATTTCATTGTAGGGATCTTTAACTTTCTTGTTTAAACTGGTTTCTAGATATTGTGTTTTGAAACTGTTCATGGAATTTACCCTGACTTTTTTCTTAGGAAGTTTATTTCTATTTGACAGAAAACCTACTGATTCTTGAATGCTGACTTTATATCATGATCTTTGTTTATATCCTGCTCTATGCTGCTAGTATTTTCAGATCGAAGAGTTTTCTAATTGAGTTTTGATGGTATTTTAAGTATAAAAACTTGTGGAAATTTCACTACATCATTTGCTAGTTCTATCCCTTTTATTTCTCCCTCCTTCTTCTTTTCTATGACTGAGGTTTGAGCATTACATTGAATACAATGGAGAGAGGGGGAATGCACCCTGTTCTCATATCAGACTGGTGAAGCAGTTGTTCTGTGTTTCACCACCTACTGTAACTATAATGATATTGCTATCATTCATAATGTTTGTTTTTGTTTTATCTTATCATACTGCATGATTACATATTTCTTACAGAAAAACATCTATGTTTTATTGTTGTTATTATTATTATTATATAATCTCATTGGTAAATGGGTTGTCAATCAACTCAACACTGTCTAGCAGACACACAATAAAAATAACTTGGCTCAGAATTGCCCAGATTTGTCATTCTCTCATCTTCTACCACATCTGTTGCTATAAGGTCCTTGGTGTCTGGATCATAAATGTAGCTTCAGGGATGGAGACCTAGATCTAGGCTTCTTGTGTTGGCACCCACACATATCCCTTAGCAGCTCTCAAAATGTTCCAGATACATTAAATTGAAGGAGCGTCTTTTGTGAACTCTCCCATTTCAAACTGGAGGTAGCTGGCTTTTCTAAAATTAGGTACACAGGACAGTTGTATGTGGGTCTCCTGCTTATTAAAACAGTGTTATTCAAATTCTTCACAACATTCTCTGCATCCTCTTCAAGGAGATGTTTGACACATATATTCCAACAAAGTAGGCTCCCAGGTAGTTGCAGACATTCATGTGAACCACTACTTTGTATCCACATCAGTGATGGCTTCATCAAATAATTCATCACAGTGCTCCTGTGTTTACATGTCATTCACAGAACATTGTGAACCATAATTTTTCTGTGCACTGTTTGTGGATTTGTTTGTTGTTTTCAATCAATATGGTCTGGATATGTGTCAGTTTATTGTGCAACTAAAAACATCTGTCTCCATGATGACAAGTTCCAAATTTGAAAGAAAACGAACAGTTGGCTTTTTCTCTCATGTTGTTAACAATAGAAACCAAGTATTCTGTTTTTTTTTTCCAGCAGAGGCTGCAGACAGATTTGCACATGCCAGTACTTGTTCCCTCTATTCTTAGTTATATTGAAGAAAAAGCCTTCTATTCCTGGTCCATTCTGGGATTTTATAATGAATTTAAATTATTGTTCTGCATTTACTAAGATAATGGCAGGATTTCTGATTCAAGAGAACTTAGTGTTAGACTGAAATTAATATTTTTGTTTGTGTGGCAACCTTTCATATCTGAAACGAAAATAACTTGGTTAAAGTGTACAAGACTCTTCATGTTTTTAGATTTCCATTACAAGAATTAGGATATCCTTGTGTTAATCAGTTAAATTGGTTTCCTCTCAGGTTCAGGGGCTCTGCCTAGACAACATCATTCTTCTCTCCTTGAAGGCTCTCCAGAGTTTTCAAGATGTCCCAATGTCTATCCACATTTACTATATAAGACTTGAGTTCCAGATTTTGGTGTGTATGCATTTGGAATCGTTGGTAGTGAATCATTTACCTTATGACTGGTTTTATCTGTTTAATTCAGATTTGTTCAGATTCTAATGTAACAGATATCAACAGAGCTGTGCCAGCTTGGTTTTGGGACCCTGTTCCCTTGCTAGATTTGCTTTCATCTTTTGACCCTCAGCGCATGTATATTGTTACCAGTTAGGTGTGTTTCCTGGGGAAAACAGACAGTTGGATAAGTTTTTAACCTAGTTCAAAAATATGTGTATCATTTTTGCTGAATTGTGGTCACATATGATTATTAATATATGCTTATTAATTTCTATCCTTTTTTGAAGTTTCTTGGTGTGTTAGATTTTTTTTTAGTTTCTTTTCCTTTGCCCCTGCTCTTCAAATGTATTGGAGTTACTGACTTGCAGCATTGGAATACTCATATCTTTTTCCTAGTAATCATTATTCATCTACTCTTCTCTTTCTACTAATATTTTCTCTGTGTTCTCATGATTGAGATGATCTTTTCTTTTTGTGCGCATAGTATTTTGATAGTGTATGTGTATGAAGGTATATGTGGGAATGGGTGTGTATAAGTATGAGAGACAGAGATAAAAGGATAGGGTAGACAAGAGAAGAAAATACAGCAGGAAATATAATGAGAAATGGGGAAGTTTAGCACATATGGTCAAATATATGATATACTGGAAAAAACTGCTCTTAAGAAAATTGTTTATAATGAGTTTAGATTAATGCATGGATCTAATCTATATGGGAAATAGAAAAAGACAAGATCTTCTAGGTAATTTTGGATCATGGGAATCTTGGGAGAGGGTTGAAGGGCAGGGAAGAGGCAGGGAGTAGAGCAGAGAAAAATGTAGAGATCAAGAAAAATCAATTAAAAAAATTTTAATGGGCAGCATAATGTTTCACATTCCAAAGACACTTGACACCAATCCTGATGTCAAACCTGTTTTAACCCCAGAACTTGAATGAAAAAAATGACAAACAAGTCCAATTTGTTCTCTAAACTTCACAACTATGCCATGTCATGTGCACCTAGAAATATGTACACACTTGAACACAACACATAAATGCACACTCACACTGACACAGAAAAACACAATCATCTAAAATGTAGTAAAAAAAAGGAAAAGAAAAAACAGAAGAAACAGACACCAGTAAGGAAGTAAGAATCTACTCTAGAATCTGGATAAATAGGAAAAATACATTCCCACAGCTGCCAAAAAAAAAAAAAATACAGTTTGTCATCATCACTTCAGCCCAAAGAGTCTTATGATGGACACCAGAACTCCTGCGCTATAGAAAGATAAATCCTTCATATTCAAGTAACAGAGTCTGTGGTATTTTATTACAGAAGGAAAAGAAAGACAATACTGAGTTCTCTGCATTTTCATGTAAGGATTTTCATACCAAAAACGAAGAGACACTGAAGTTATTATAGCCTGCTTGGCTCTGACAACATTTTGAACATGGTTTCAAGCTCACTGTCTCCTAGGCAAAAGCGAGAAATGTGCAGGTGCAAGGTGGCCTGTGGTGCAGGCAGCTGTTGAGATTCTCAGAAGTTTTTGTTGGAGGCTGAAGCACTGTGGGAGGATCCTCATTAGATTGCTTACAGTAATAATCTGCCAGATCTTCTGCCTGGACACCACTGATGGTGAGAGTGAAATCTGTCTCAGATCCACTGCTTATGAAACGATCAGGTACCCCAGTGTGCCGATTGGATGCCAGGTAGATTAACAGTTTAGGAGACTGCCCTGGTTTCTGCTGGTACCAGTACAAGTAGTTTTCATTGTATTCACTGTCGAAAAGAATAAGACTGGACTTGCAGCTGATGGTGACCTTCTCTCCTAATGACACAGCAATGGAGGATGGAGACTGGGTCATCACAATACCCGCACAGGCACCTTTAATAAGGAATACAACATGAAGATTCATAATATGCAAACACATAATATAGTTACAGCTGGAAGTTTATCATGTAATAAATTTGCTGTGTCACCTTGTCAGTGTATATCTCACAGAATTCTATAAGAAATATCATGGACTAGCACACACTTTAAATTTATTATATACAAAGAATTGACTCTACAAATATTATACTGTTTTAAATTTCTCACCAGATACCCATAGCAGTAGGAACATGAAAACCTGTGTCTGTGACTCCATCTTGCTCCCGGTGCCTATCTGATGCAGCTCAGATCACACTGTTTAAGAGTCTGGTTTATAAATTTTGAACAGCTGTCCTGGCCTGGAGGGGCCATGCAAAGCAGTCAGCAAATACATAAGGAAAAGTCTGAGCAGTGTGTGGGAGTGGCTAGTGGCAAACAACAGACAAAAATAGCACCATGGGCAGAATGAATGATCACTTAAAGACATCAGCTTATACCTCGCCAACAAAAATCTAATAGGTACTCTAAGAACTACTTTGTGTTAAAATCCAAGACATTTTTAACCAGTTTTTCTTTTGTAGAAATGTTAGGAAAGCTATCTCAGTTTAATGGTACTAGGAAAATTGTAAAATATGTTTAAAAATTTACAAAAAAAAAACCTTAGAGTAAGAAAACATGAGGTAAAAGAAAGAATGGGTGGAGTGAAGAAAAGAAGAAAAGTATGAGAAAGAGAGTTGAGGCTAATTGGGTTTCTTATCATTCATGTGTAAAGTCATTTGTGCTGAGTGAACATTGAGCTCCAGATTCCAGACTAAAAATGACACATAAGCAAAGATCAGCCAAGAATTCCTTCTGTGGAAATTATGGGGGAAAATTAAGATTGAGATGAGAGAAGCTTTCATCTCAAGGCAATAGTAAACACAGCAGGATCAAAGAAATATCCTCCATACAACATCGGGAAAATGAAACAGAACTCTAAATTTGGGAAGATAGAAAGGGAAACATATTGGACTGAATTTCTTCAAGTAGTCATAACTGCAGTACAGCAATGTCAAGAATGTTTATTTCAGAAACGCATATTCTAGAATAATCTAGAATCAGCCATGTTTAAAGTAGGTGAAAATGGTCCTGTTGACATAATGAACATATAAAATCCTCTCCAGAAGGAGTTTCAGCCAACCTATATCAAGTAGTTATTTTATCGTTTTTCTTTGTCTTTTCTTTTTTTTTGTTGTTTTATTTTTTTTTTTTTTGTTTTTTGAGCAGGGTTTCTCTGTGGCTTTGGAGCCTGTCCTGGAACTAGCTCTGTAGACGAGGCTGGTCTTGAACTCACAGAGATCCGCCTGACTCTGCCTCCCGAGTGCTGGGATTAAAGGCGTGCGCCACCACCGCCCGGCCAAGTAGTTATTTTATAGAATCCGATAGACTACAGCACCAGAAAATGTTGCCATCCTAAGGAAAAAATGTTTAAGTATGAATTAAAATCAGAGGCAATAAAAGAAATCACAGAACCTAGCTGGACTTCAGATTGTTGAACTCTGGCAGAATATATAAGAAGGAAATGACAAACCCAGTATTATGTGTAAAGTATGGCTGGATCCAGCCCATTGCTTAGGTTTCTGTGATTTCAGCCTCATGGCGGAGGTACCAGCCAAAGCCATGTTTACTTCCACAACTCCATGGTGTTTCAAGGTCCTTACCAGCAAGCCAGCCACAACAGTGTGTTCACAACACTCATAAACGTCATATTCGTACCACCTGCCTAAAAGAGTCAGTTGCTCTAGCAGATTGGCCCAGAAAGCCACCATTTTAAAATGGCACAGCTTTTTTTCCTGCCAAGGCTGAAAACCGTAAAGCATGCAGTCAGCTTTTTATCAACATTATTTAAATATTTCTTCTCAGGACCTCTTAAAAGAAGTGCAAGGCTTTACAGCTAAAACTGAGGCAGGAAGCCTCTCTCAGATGAGAGTTCTTGCTTGCTTCTAGAAAGCAGAGCAGACCATAGAAATTGCTGCTACCAAGAAACCATGTGTAATACTGTTATTTTTTTTTTCAAGAATTACTTTTCAAGCTGTCTCAGACTTTATGTGGCTGCAGTTATCCACACATTTGGGAGCCATTTGCAACACAAGGGTCTGCTTGTTGTGGTTTCTGTCCTACCCAAATCCCACAGCCAGGAAGCCCCAAAGAAATCACACAGAGGTCTCCGTAAGTTATAATCTGATTGTCCCATTAGCTCAGGCTTCTTGTTAACTCTTATAACTTACATTAACCCATTATTCTAGTATATGTTAGTCACATGTCTCAGTACCATTTTCAGTGGGGCAGGTCACATCCTACATCTTTGGTGTTCAAAATGTTTGTCCATAGGGTTGGGAACACAGTTTAGGGGTTGTTGATTTTTACTTGTATTAGATAGAGGGTTGGTGTGAAAACTATGTTTGTTTAAAAAAAAACTGGGGGATAGTAATAGTGGGTAATAGAGTGAATACTTGTGAGCTATTATTCATGGATAATTTACATTGGTACAATATTTGAATATTGATACAAGTTCAAATTATTTGTTACTTTTGTTTAGTTGTACACCTATACAAATTTATTTTGTAAGATTGCATATATGTATGTTATTATCTCTGTTTAGGATATTTTGGATATTGCTAAAACTTTTAGGATCTATTTTCATATTGAATTATATATTATTCCAACCTCTGATCAAGATAATTATATATTGTTTATATTTTCAGGTCATTGTCCTCATTTGTGGCATATTTGTATACAGGTTACTTAATATTCTGACATAAAGTTTTTGTCTTTAAGTTATACAGGTATTAATTAGTATAGATCAATAGTTTTTCATGTTTGTTGTACATACAGTTAGGTCAGTTAGGTTCTTTAGATACATAGAGATTGGATTCTGTATAGAGAGGTAATCTTCAACCACTTCAAGGATCTGTGGAACATGGCATGTAAACAACTTAAGGTTTTGTTGGCATGAGACATGATTTTTCCTGGCAGCACTGATTTATCCATGAGAGAATGTTGAGCACCAAAGACAATCCATCTGTCACCTGTTTTCTTCTTGGCAAAACCAGCCTTTTGGCTGAGGAGTTCCATCTGGACAGCTTGTGCTGCAGGGTCTCCTGTGTTCTACTGTACCCCGCCCTGCCCCCCATTGTTGCCTTTCAGTGCTGAGGAATTCCATCTGTGTTACAGGAGCTCCTCCCGCTCCTTCAGACAATAGTGGCTGAGATACCAGCCCATTGGGGTGTGGTCTCTCTCCCTTTAAAAAGGTGGCCACTTCCCTCTCCTCTCTCTCTTACTTCCTTCTCTGCTTCTGGCGACTAGACTCCCTTCCTGATTGTTCAGAAGGCTGTTGTCTGGGATGGTGATCTTTAAGTTTTTCCCCTCTAAATAAATAACCATTCTATTAATCATAATTCCAAACTGGTGTGGGACTGTTGTGACTTACACCTTCGCCTTAACATCTGGATGGGTGTCTTTGGGCTACCAGGCATCTCTGTTTAAGTGTTGAGTAGTTTTTTCCTAATGGGCTATCCACCCAGAGGGGGATACTAGGCATCCCTGTTTCAGTGCTGAGGAGTTCCATCCAGACAGGAAAAGTTCCTGCTTCTACACTGAGGAGATACACCGAGAGAGTCAGTCACAGCAAAGACTGGACCAAGACACCAGGCCTCTCCTGGCTCCATTTGAAGGAAGAGATGGGCAGGCGCCAATGCAAGCATTTTTCCTGGAACGGCGTAAATAAATTCAGACAGATTGTAATAATATATACAGCTTTAATGATGAAAATAGACTTACTACTGGTTCCTGTAGAGAACAGGGAAGCAGAGAGAACAGCAGGCTCACACTCGCTAGATTTATAAGTAAACATTAGCCCGAGGCGAACAAGCCCCCTAATGGGCTGGGCTTATCCCTACATCCTCCGACAACCTACAAGGAAACATGACATCACCAGAATCCAGGGATCCCTAAACAAGAAGAATTGAACACCCTACTCCAGAAGAAACAGAAGAAATTGACTTTAAATGGAACTATATGAAAATAATAGAGGATGTTAAAGAGGAGGTGAAAAACTTCCATAAAGAAATAGAGATGACAAATAAAAAGGTAGAGGAAATGAATAAATCTCTCAAAGATACCCAAGAAAAACAAGAGAAACAAGAAAAAGCAATCAAACAGGTAAGGGAAACAGTTCAAGACTTGAAGAATGAAATGGAGGTAATAAAGAAATCAAGAACAGAGGGAAGGCTGGAGATGGAATATCTGGGTAAACTAACAAGAACTACAGAGACAAGTATTAGCAACAGAATACAAGAGATAGAAGAAAGAATCTCAGACACTGAAGATACCATAGAGAAAATAAACGTACTTGTCAAAGAAAACAGCATATCCAACAAATTCTCATATAAAACATTTAAAAAAATCTGGGACACAATAAAAAGACCAAACCTAAGATAAATAGGAGTAGAAGAAGGAGAAGTACAGCTCAACGGTCAAGAAAATATATTTAATAAAATTATAGAAGAAAACGTTCCCGACCTAAAGAAAGATATTCCTATAAAGGTTCAAGAAGCATACAGAACACCAAATAGAATGGATCAAAAAAAATCTCCTCACCATATAATAATCAAAACACAAAACATACAGAATAAAGAAAGAATATTAAGAGCTGTAAAGGAAAAAGGTCAAGTAACTTATAAAGGTAAACCTATCAGACTTACATGGGACTTCTCTATGAAAACCGTGAAAGCCTAAAGATCCCAGATAGAGGTACTGAAAAAACTCAGAGACCATGGATGAAAGCCCAGACTACTATACCAAGCAGAGCTATCATTCACAATCAATGGAGAAAACAAAATATTCCAGGATAAAAACAAATTTAAACAATACCTAACCACAAATCCAGCCTTACAGAAAGTAATAGCAGGAAAATCACAACCAGAGGAATCCAACATTGCCAGCACTGCCTACAATAACTCAGACATCTAGAGACCCTTCACCAGCACAACTCAAAGAAGGAAAACACACAAACTCTACTACCAAAATAAATAAATAAATAAATGAGTTTACGACCACTGGTCATTAATATCACTTAATATCAATGCACTCAATTCACCTATTAAAAAGCACAGACTAAGAGATTGGATATGAAAAGAGGATCCAACATTCTGCTGTTTACAAGAAACACACCTCAACCAAAGACAGACATCTACTCAGAGTAAAGGGTTGGGAAAAGTTTTTTCAATCAAATGGACC